GTTTTGAGTTGGAAGTAAGGAAAAACTTCCTTACGGTAAGGGTGACCAGGATCTGGAATAGACTTCCCAAGGAGGTGGTGCAATCCCTAACCTTGGAAGTCTTCAAGAGGAGACTGGACAGACACCTGGCTGGGATCATTTGATCTCAGCAGTATTCCTGGGAGGGTGGGGGTGGAGTTTAATCCCCTTCCCTGACCCCAGTCCCCAGCTGGGGTTTACCTGCAGAGGGGCATTCCCTGCCTCTGCCGCCCTGCACTCCCACCCAACCCTTCTCTGCTGGAGCAGACAGCCTAGCCTAGAGCTAGAAAACATGATGGGATGTTGTGGGGACTGTGATTTAACTCGAACCAGGAAGAGGTCTGAGACAGAAGTTTCATAAACTGGTTTGACCCAAATCAGTTAAGTCTGATACTACATTCAACCAGGTTTATCTTAAACCAGTTTCAGCTATTTTGAAACTTATGTTCTGTTACAGGTTTAAACCAGTTTCTGATCACTTAAAATGGTCTATGTGTAACTTCTGTCCCTAGCCCTGAAGACTAACTGGTTCAGAGAAATGTAAGTTTTCATAGGTAATAGCCTACTTCATCGGATGCTAACTGTAAATCTGGAGATTAGATTTGAGCTGTGCATTCTTTGTGTTCATATCTGTTACTCATTCTGTGCTAGTTTCCAAAGAAAGTAACCTTCTGGATGTCCCTGACTTCTGGTAAGTTACCAAAATGCACCTGAAATCATTTCAGCTCTTTCAGGAATTATGAGTTCAGTTAATAAGAAACATAGCTCTTTGTGTTCAGGATTTGTCAAGTGCTGCACTATGTCCCTTATATGCTCTTAGGGGAGGGCTGCCCAACTTCTAACTGCCTGGGGGCCTCAGGCTCTCTGGCCACATACCAGATGGGCTGCAAGTCCCATGAGCTGCTTGCTGCACAGGTCACATGCAGTGCTGCTTGGCTTGGTTCCCCTGTACCATGCTGTGGGTAAAAACCTAACTTTAATAGGGAAAAATGCTACAATGGAACTGGAGAAGACAGAGCAGAACATAAAGGTTTAAAACACTTTCTCCTAATGCTTCACTCTGACTCCTGGCTAGGGGGTTATTTCACAGACCACACTTGGTTCCAGTAGGTCCCTGTCTCTAGAAGGAATCACAACTACCACGAGTCCAGATTCCTTTTGCCTCTAGACTAATACAGCTACAACCTGGATCTCTGCAGCAAACTCCACCTTGTTTCCGGAGGTCTCAGCTTCTCTGCTTCCCCCAATGAGTTGCCTCTGCTCCTGCTGCTCTGCTGCAGCCCCCACGTGGCAGACTCCCTCTGTCTCCACTCTGGGGTTTTACTCTAGCAGGCTCTGAGGACTCCAGGCTGGCACAGGCATGCATGGACATGGCCACACTCTGGCTTTCCGACTTACATCTCTTTTCCCCCTCCAGCTCCTAGAAAGAGCCAGGAAACAGATCCTTCCAGCACCATCCAGAGAGCAGGGTGCAATTAGTTGGGTCACACCCAGCTCCTCTGCAGTTTGGTCTGCCAGCCCAAAACCCATCCAAAGAAGTCCTTTCAATATATAACATCCCAGCAAACAATACAACTATGTAATTATGACACCAATACAGGTCTCCATCCCAAAGAAATTCTTTGGAATTCCTTGCTACTGTGAAGATCTGCATGGTCAAATCTCTCTGCAGGATTGCATCTTAGGATGGACACGTTGGTTGAGGTGAACGGGATATTGACTGGATGATGCTATCTGTTATGAACTAAAGTTATACTCTTGTTTCTTTTACTTGTGAGGAAGGCTTCTAAGAAGATATTTAAATGAAGAAAGAATTGTACAGACTTTGGTTAAAAAAAATCTAATTACAAAAGGCCATACTTCTTTAATTGCCAGATACAATGCTTATAAATGAAGGATGCCTTCTGAAAAAGCTTTTTCTCTAAAATCGTTATTTCTTATGAATATTTTCACATAGTGTTTTCCATCGCTCGGAGATGGGAAAAAAATCCACTTCACCTTCCTGAAAACCTATCTTCAAGCAGCTCTGAAATGCTTTTAACATTTTTAAGCCTATTGGCAAACAGGTGGGTTTTTTTCTTCAGTTCCCCTGAGCAGGGTTTTTTCTTTCTTTTATTATATTTCTTTTTTGTTATTCTGCTTCTGTGGAACAGTAGCCACACCAATTATTTAGGCAGGAAACTGAATTATGTGAAGGTCACCTAACTGGAGAAACATGCCTTAACCCATAGATCAACACAATGTTCCATAAAACTGATTTTTTTCTAGTTTTCCTTCTTTTGACCTTACTTCTTTGTACACTTGGCATGTTGAGATACTGAACAGGCAGATTGTACATTGACCCACTGTATTTAAGAATAAATATACTGGGAATTGATAAAACATTGGCAGATAACATTTTCCCATTGAAAATGACTTCTAATGTGCCTCTTACTTTGCAATTTATGTGCGTGTTTTTGTTTTCTGTACACACATTCCTGGTTCAGGGCTCTAGTCCCGTGTTTCCATATTGGAAAATAATAGAAAATGATATTCTTTGATCACTCAAAACCACAAAATGCTTTATTACTCAGCATTATTGTTTGCTATTAACTTTCTAACCTAAAATAAAAACTGAATATATTTTTGGTAACATGAGGATCAGCAAGTCCTGGAGGTTTTAAAATAGATGCAATATGATGCCCATAATAGCCTGTTGCAACTTAGCAGACCTGGAAAACTATACAAAAAGCAAACCAAAATGGAGGGCAGTTCTATACTCCATGCTTTTAATAATATTTATTTTGCAATCTTTGCTTTGTTTTGTTTCAAACTTTTAATTAAGATTTCCTTGGCTCTGCTGACCCATTTCTATATTGTTAAAGGCAACAGAAAAGAAGCTGCCAGGATAGCAGAAGAGATCTATGGAATAGTACCAGGTAAAATGAATTTCAGACACTCAAATTTTAAGTACACATTCTCTAAATATGGAGGTCTTGAGGAATTAAATTTTAATCATTGTGTTGCCAGAAGTTGAGGAGGTAGTTTCTAAATGTGTCAGTTGAATGGTTTGACCACACTTAACATTTCTGCAAGCTTTGCACAGTGGCAGCATGCACTGGCATGTTTTGGGTGTGCAAAATATAAGACTAACAATTAGACAGCCTGCGTGTGAAAAACATTTGCATAAGTACAGGAAATAAAAGATTGCTTTTGGAAGCAGACCAGTTGTTAGAGTTAACTGTGCAAGTAATAAAGGGTTTTACTAAGTTTGAGTCAGAACCAGAGACCATTAAGAGAAAAGAGAGAGAATGTGGATTTCCTAAAGGAAGACACTAGGAAGGGTGTAATTACTGTTCATTTGAATCCAAGCTAAGAATATCTGTTTTATTGAACCATACTGAGCTATAAAATGAAAGCAGTTGACATTATTATGAAAATCAAATTTGGCAATAAAATATTTGGCAGGCTCTCAAAATGATCATTTACTTTTGTTTCTTTTCTAATAATATTACTTCCCACTCAGCTATGAAAATTATTGCCTTACAGGCTTACACCATAAGTTTGTCCAAGGCAGTCAATAGAACTATTTATGGTGAAAAATGGCTATTCAGGGTGCTGCCAGAATCAAATTGTGGCCAGAAAATCAAGAGTCCTGTCAAAAGAAAGGCTGTAGCAGCTTTTTTATAAGGCACTTGCTGACTAGAATTTGTAATATGTTGTTTTGTACTTGTCTTCATAGTGTCTTATAAATTATGGGTTTTTCGCGAAGAATTTTTTTTATTTGTGAATTAAGTATTTAATTAATGTGCCTTAACCAAAATGCCATTAAGACACTTGATAATTGGTAGGTTTACCCGTATGAAGATTCTTATCTAAGTACATACAAGGTTTCCAGGACCGTATCATATTTGCCATTTGCAAGGATTGTCTTTCAAAACACTAGGTCATGTGGTGATGTTGCCTGTGTACTGTATTGGATTACAGATGAAGTTTTGCAGCATAACCCAAAGTAATGCAATGGCAAGAGAAGTATCAGCAAACTTCCTATATTTCTGGAGGAAAATGGAGCAAATCCATGGTGTTTCAGAAATGTCTTTCATTACTGAGGAATTAAGAAATGCCCCTTATGGGAACTACATTTGCCATATGTTTCAGGGAGGTATGTTGCTGTGACTTGCATGGAAATATACAGCTGGGTGCATTTTCATGGTGAGAAGTATCCCTGTTGTATGTAACATAAAATGTGTAACTAATATAGATGAGATGCACTGTATATGTTTATTTAATATTTTGGAATATACAATGTGGTGTGTGCGTAAGGCTAAGTATAGGTGGGGGCGCTATGGTTACTCCTATGGTTGCCTGATCTTCTTTATACATACCCTGTTTTAAATTGCTAAAATGATCAAGTTTGTATATCTGAAGGTATGGAAAAATGTTCTATTTAGTGCCTATTAAAAATATCAGCAAGCTTTTATTTAAGAAGCTCTAGTATGCCATACTTTGGAACAGGGAGTTGAAATTTGATCGGAAGGTAATCTCTGATGGAGAGAGGCTGTTTGCCATCCTTATGAAAAGCTCTCCAGAGTTCACCAGTTTATAAGCCTTTGAGACGTTCTTGGTTTTATGCTCAGTAAAGGTCTGTTAAAATCCTCAGCTGGGAGCTGAGCAGGACTTTCAAGGTCAAAAAAGTGAGAGAGCAAATATCCAAACAGTACAGAGGCAGTCCAGTCAAAACTATAGAAACTACTCTGACTATCCAGAGGTCTTTGCTGGTTCTGTAGCTGATTCTGCTGACCTATAGTCTGTCTGATTCCTTTCCTGCATCCTTCCTCATAGTCACAAGGCAGGGGAAAGGGAAGGGCAAGTACCACTCGAGTCCTGTTACCTCCCAAATGGGTGGTCTTGTACAGGATTTGGGGCCTAAGGGAGAATAAGGGTAGCTTATTCCAGCTGGATTTTACCTCCTTTCCGATTCACAGAAGTGCTGTGCATTCATAACTGTTACTGAGGGCAAAAGTAAGTGGGGTTTGTATACAAATGCTATATGAACCTATATACTTTGGGAGGGGAAAACCTGTAGAACTGGGTCCCCAGAATAAGTGACTTGAATACATGCCTTAATGTAGTGCTGTGCAGAGGTAGCTAAGCTAGCTCACATACTGGGAGCAATATAACCTCTGTAGTGTGGTGTTCCACCCAGGGTAATTAGACATGCTAGGTGTGTCTTCATGTGCAATTCGTGTGACTGAATAACCTCAGGCACAGTTTGAGTCAGAGTAAACTAATCCCGACATCACTGCCTCCACATAAGTTTAAGCACAGTACTGTACTCCACCATTGGATAGTAGCTGCGTCTGATGGAACTATCGGACAATGCTGTAAATCAGTCTACACTGACCCAGTTGTCACACATGTGTAGACAGTGATGCTTTACTGTATAGTAAATTAGTCTAATGCACAGTTAAGCGGACGTGTAGAAATGCCCACTGATAAGCTAACATGGTGACGTTCCTTGTGGTACCCAAATGAATTTGTTCAGAGCTCACTTGCATATCTCTAATGCCCTCCATCTACAAATGTAAACAAATATGCTCCTTATTTCATGGGTGTTATGAAGATAGATTTCTGTTTGTAAAGCACTTGGGAGTGATAGTGAAGAGATGCATAGAAAAGCCCACAAAAATGGTTTATGAGCAAGGTTTTAAAAATGTTTGGAAAATAAGTCCTAAGGCTGCAAATTGAACAAGGACTAGAGAACAAAACATTAAACCAGCTGCTCAGCAAATATGCACGGATCCATGAGGCGTATGTGCCTCATGGATCCATGTATATTGAAGGAATCATGGCATGTGAAAAAATAATTTGGTCTTGGAATTAAAGGCTGTTCATAGAGATAGTTAGCCCTGTTAACCTGCGGCCAGACAGAAGGCAGGGCAGGCTGGCATGCTGGAGAATAAGCACTTGACAAAGTAGCTTGTTGCCTATGAAACTTACACCTCTCCACCAGCTGGTCTCTAAGGTGCCATCCTGCCCTACCTTCTGCCAGACTGTCATATAAAGCCTGGGACACTTAATCAGAAGTGTCATCATGTGGCGTCATCGTCACTGCCACGTAGGTCAGTAACAGGACTGGAACCTTTAAATGCACTGCTCAGGCCTGAGCCATTTGGTCGAATGGACTATTTTATATCAGTGATGGATTACCTTCCTCAACACTGGGCCTGCGGGTTTCATAGATATTTTTTAACAGCAGTGGGATAGTGAGACCAAGGAATCTTAAGGTCCATTTCAGGTAGTGGGGGTGGGAATCATTGCTCTAACAAATCTTCTGCCTGTTCCCCCAAAGTTTACCCCCCTTTTGCCTCATTTCCTTCAATGGAGGTGCCCAATTCCTGGCCTGTGAGGGTTTAACTTGTAACCTGAAGGCTCCTGCCTGGCCAGAAATCTGCTCTGCACCTCCCCACCCCCAAACACTTCTTCTGTGGCTATCAGGGGCTCTGGGCTTTTCCTCCCTCCTCCAGCTTCTGCTTCCTGCCATCACTGACAGGGAACACATGGTGCGTGGCCCCGAGCAGCTCAGAAGTTGGAAAACCGTGTCCTACATATGACCCTTCCATTCTGGTCTTGTTTCTTCCCCACCCTGGCACCAAGACTTTACTGCGGAGGTAATTAGGCAACACCACAGTAAACATCTCATGTAGATGCATCCACTGAAGGGGCAGAGAGTTCATTTTTCAAATTAATTACCTGAGGCGCACTGAAGCACACTTTCACTCTGGAGGTTTTTTCAGACTCATGTTGTATTATGATAAGGCACATACCCCTCATGGAAGATGTTAGTCCAAGTAGTTTGTTAAAGATGTAAGGAGCTGAAGAGAAAGTAGCAGGCAATCTTAATGATCGTTTTTGGCAGGTCTGGTATTATTGCTATTATTAAGTTTAAGGAAATTATGCAACACTTCTTGTCTTTCCCTGGGAATGCTGTATGGTTGCAACTCTACCAAGGCAGAGTTAAGGGGCTCCTATACACATGCAGGGAGGCTGCTCTGATTACATACACTGTAATTACATGTCAGAGCAGGCTCAGTTAACCCAGTCTACTGGAGTGTGGTAATTACTGCGCTCCGGCAGTCCAGTGTCACGTCTATTGGTGTCCCTGCACTGAAAAATGGCATCAGGGTGCTTTAAATTAAAGCTCATTCAGCAAGCTTTAGTTCAAAGCACCCTGCTGCCAATTTTCAGCATGGGGATGTTAATACGTGTGACACTCTGGACACTTTTAATTAAAGTGCCCCCCACCCCACCCTCTGGAGCACATGTATAAAACCCCAAGGTTATGGTTATTAGTTAACCCTGGGTCATTGTCTCATATAAAGAATCCAGGCTAAACACAGCAGTTTTCAGGTTTCTGATTTTATTTTCCTATCTAATGTTGTGGGCATATGTGATTTGGGGGTTTGAATGGACTGTGGTGTTTTATTGTGATATTTCTGTATTAATTGTGTTCACATTGTTATATTGTGTGACTCAGCTTACCCCATTAGCCTGTGCACAGAAAATGAAGTGTCAGAGCTGGCTTCATGCAGGACAAGACAAGACGAACCTTTAGCGTGAACTAGGACTCTCAGGCTGCTGCCACACCTTACACTTAGACATGATATCATTAACCAGTTAATTGCATCTTAATTTGTGATCCAGCCACACATTCAATCCTAAAATGTCATCATAAAATGAGGAACAAGTTATTACAAAAATGTGTAATAACTTTGTGGCTGGTTCCTATCATGCCATTAATTGAAAGTGTGGCCAGGTGCACCCCTGTGCCTGGGAGCCTGTGTTAGCTGACAGGATTCTCAACCACGGGGTGCATAGGATCATGATCCTGGACTCCCCCTGCATGGGCAAGAAGCAAGTTCCTTTGGCTGGGAGCCTAAGTTAGCTGGTGGTACTCCCAGCCATGCGGGTGCATGGTACATCTCCGTGACTGGGATCCCCATTAGCTGAAGGGGCTCCCACCTGCAGGATCTTGCTTCTTCCCCATGCGGGGAGAGCCCAGGATCATGATCCCAGGCTCCCACTGCACCAGTAATAAGGCGTGATGGGATCTGATGTGTGATCCAGCAATCACGCCTCCAGTCATGCACTTGTGGCATGGCAGAAAGCTCAATTGTTGGGAGGGGCCCTTAAATAGCTTTGTTAACATCAACAAAACTGAGGTGACTGACACCCAGGAATACAACCAGGTTGGCAGCTCCTGACCAGAAGAGTCTGGGGACTGAGAAGTGGAGGAGATTTATGGAACTGGAGAGACTAGAAAGGGAGCAGCTGAGTATCTCTGGGGGTGCACAGGGCTGTGCAAAGTTGGATGGGGAAGGAGACCTGTGGGTGGGTGGCCTTTGCCCCAATAAATGCAGAGATTATCTGCTGCGCTGCTTGGTATTAGTGGCTGTAGTGGATCTTCCCAACAGGAGGTGTAGTCCGTCTCTCAGGAGGGGAACTGGATGTTCAGTCAGGGCCACAGAGAATCAGGAAACGTGAAATATTAAAAGTTTGGGGTCTCAGAGTTGGAAGAGGTCTGGGTTGTCCCTTGCTTTAGAAGTGAATCCCAGGCTGGTTTCCAGGGACTCTGCCAGAGACAAGGATGCAGCTGTCCTGAGCAAGCAACCCCTGGAGGTCACTCCATGACTGTATTTACTGGGAGACTGATGAAATGTGGCAACAGCTTTAATAATTATTTATTTATTTATTGGTCTGGTAAATATATCTCTATTTATTCGGCGGGTGGAGATGTTGAGATTGGAGGGGGGGGGGGGGG